ATGGCGGACCGGCTTATCGACTCGCGTGTAGACCTGGTTTAGTAATTTCAGACGAGGAGACTGTTCTTGAAGGGGACTAGATGCTTGCAGACTTTCGACGTTAGCTAGGACCACAGTATGTAATCAGAGCAGCCAACAGAGCAAAGTAAAGCGCAAGTCAACAAAAAAAGCAAATCCAGGTCTCGACGTAACCGGCCGAGGGGCTCCTGCATGGCGGGGTTGTTTCGCGTCCCGTATACGAGATCATGTGATGTCATAGTTCCATAGCCACAGCCACATCACCAGCCACGCCTGTCCCTGTCCTTATCGTGTTATCGCAACCCGACTCTCCAGTCTTCGCGACAAGTCGAGAATATAACTACCATATTCAACCATGAAACAAGGATAGGGATGCCATTGTGGAAAATGGGAACAGTTGCATTGCTCCCAATTACATATGGTTTAGTGTTATCTGCATGGATAGACCTTTGACTCCCCGGTTCCTGCAAGATCGCGGCCCGACGAACACCGGAGATCAAACGCAGCGATCACAGTCACCATGTCTAGCTCGATGGAACCGAGGCCTCTCACGTCGGCGATGGAGAGTCCGACGTTTGATGAGGACAGCTCTTTTCATGTAGAGCAACCGGTAGGTTCTATGTCAATATCACCCTGTGGACGGGATGTCGTTCTAGCGTCCAAAGAGGGTCTACATGTCATCGACCTAGACTCGCCATATTCTCCGCCGCGGTATCTCCCTCACCACACCCCATGGGAGGTAGCTGATGTGCAATGGTCGCCATTCGCTGCACGCGACCAGTGGGTTGTCAGTACATCCAACCAGAAAGCATTGGTCTGGAATTTGGCCATGAAGACATGGCAGAACTCCATTGAAATTGTGCTCCACGCGCATACTCGAGCAATTACCGATATCAATTTCTCAGCATTCCATCCAGATATCCTAGCGACCTGTTCCGTGGACAGCTTTGTGCACTGCTGGGATTTGCGTGCTCCGGCGCGGCCAGCCGTCTCATTTTCCGATTGGTTTACTGGTGCAACCCAGGTTAAATGGAATCGGCAAGATCCTCATGTCATTGCAAGCTCCCATGACCGGTTCCTTCGGATTTGGGATGACCGCATGGGCGCATACCCAATCAAGTCGATTGAAGCACACAGCACCAAGATTTATGGAGTTGACTGGAATCGTGTTCGACGCGGTGCTCTAGTTACATGTTCCTTAGATAGAACCATCAAGTTCTGGGACTACACCACCGATTCAGATTGCGATGTTCCAGAAAAGCAGATCCACACACCATTCCCTGTGTGGCGCGCACGCAACACGCCATTTGGATGGGGTATGCTCGCAATGCCACAGAGAGGCAACAATGATCTTCATCTTTACAGCCGGCGGGCTGGAGAAGACTCAAATCCAGAGGACGACTTACCTTTAGTACATAGTTTCCCCGGACACAAGGGACACGTCAAAGAGTTCTTGTGGAGACCGCGCGGAGGGGTAGCGGATGGAATTGACCATCGCGAATACCAACTTGTCACATGGGGAACAGACAGGGAACTACGTCTCCACAAAGTTGACCCTGAGATTCTGGCGCGCGTTGGTTACGAAAAGGGCAAGTCCTTTATCTCCACACGAACCGTGACACGGCTCGGTGCCGTATATCGGAGTTTCCGCGATGTGAATTCTGATTTGGATCTCGACGACGTTGACGTGGCTTCGTCTGTTGGGCAACAGAACCAGAATACTGCGGCAGGTACTGGGATGAACGCCATTACTGTTCCTCATGCTCGGGGCTGGATAAAAGGAGGCCATGTTGACCGATTTGGCATGCAGCCGAGGTCAAATTTAAGAGCCGACACAAATCCAATTGCTTGGATGCGCGGTGTGAAGATCTCAGGCTGGGATATTGAGACATTAGGAGACGAAATCAGCCAAGTCGGTGAAAAGTTCACCAAGGTAGCGTTTGATTCAGTTGATGTTCGACAAAGAAAGATCTCCATCTCCCTCAATGGTCCCTGGGGTGCTGAGGGGGCCTCCTTATTCTTGAAAGTGGATATAAAGTTCCCAACGAGCTATCCTAAGACTGCTATCCCAACTTTTGCATTCCAAAAGACGGCAGCCGTAACTGACGAATGGGCCGCGAAGACCACCGCTGAACTGCGCACAATTGCTGAAACCTATATGTCCCGAAGTCGAGGGTGCCTGGAAGGTGCTGTGCGTTACCTTCTAGGTGAAAGCAGTCTGGAAGACAGCATTGCGTGGATATTGGGTGAAACTGGTGATAATATCAAGTCTCCTATCAATGGTGATTTGGAAGGAGAATCCAGCGACGAGGATGAAGTCGGTATGACCCAGAGTCAAGAGCTGGGGATGAGTTCTGAGCTGCTTCGCCCTGTCAATGCCAACGTCATGGTGCCTGTGGCCAAAGTATGCGGGGCGCTTTGGGCAAATGACGGCCGCCTCATATGCTTCTTCCCGCCAAAACCAAAGAAGGATAAATCAGCCGAGTTGTTCGAGAACATGGGTTTCAAAGAGATGACTCGCTGGTCTAGAGGTGATAAAGTTTTTGAAGGCTTCGGCCGCTTACATACCAACTCACCTGGCCCACGCGGAACGGGAACGTTAACGAGCACGGATGATGGCGACTCGGATGATTCGGACGAGTCATACTCAGACACATCAAGCTCTTCGGGCTCCTCCGACGTCCTTTCTGGGCTACCAGCACGTTTCCCAGCACCTCAAACATGGCGCAGTGCCGGCAGCTATGGTATTCACCGGCCGCGATCCACAGATAATTCTCAGCGATCAACTGCAGGCGGAGCCACAGTCAAATCCGAGGCACCCCAGAACATCGTATCTATTCATAATCTGAGCGATATGCTACCCGTCAAGCGTGAATTGGCGTGTAAATATCGCATTTGTGGCAAAGGAACAGATGTATGTGCTCATAACGCGGCTGTTGCCCTTGACGCTGGCTGCTACGAATTGGCCCAAATCTGGGGTCTGATCAAGTTGATATTGCATGTCCGAAAAAGCCCCGGCACTTTGCCTGACTCAGGGAGGTTCAAAAGGCGTACACACAAGAACGGGGGCGGAATTGGTGGGTTAGGAAGCGACGGGCTGTATAGAGACTTGACGGGCAGTATCATTCGCTGGGGCGACCACCCTCTAGGCAGTCATTGGCTTGTTCCTGCTCTCTTCGAACACTTTGAGCGCATTGGTGATGTGCAAATGGTGGCAATGCTCTCGTGCGTACTACTGGAAGCCAACCAAGAGGGATATTTGGAGAATCAGCAAGCCACCAATACACCCGGGAAACAAGATTTCTCGATGGATTTCTCCCCTGCCTCATCGTCAATTCCAACCAAGCCGCCAGTTGTGATGCCAGCTTCATCTGTTCCCAAAGAAGTCCAGACTGCACCTGAGACCTCAGCACGCTCGTCCAGTGAGATCTGGCGTCTCGATTCCACTCCTCCATATTCCACAGGGACTACGCCCCCATTTTTGTCCCGTCCGCGAGGCATCGCTGCTGATCGAAAAAACCCTAGCCACAATGTCTCCATGGCTGCGTCGCCTGATCAGCAATCCCAGGTAAGAAGTGGATCTGGGTTTGGATCAGTGTTGGCGTCCTCATTATCTCGTTCTTTCACATTCGGACCGTCATCTGCGTCGCCACCGACAAGTAGGTTGGACAAGAAGAAGCCTACTCCTCAAAACAGCCCGAGTGTGGCAGCTGGACAAGTAGTAAGTAGTTCCAGCCTGTTTTCAGATGCCAGAATTGATATCTAACCGAGTTCTCTCTAGTCACAGGCTCAATCCGAGACTGAAAGCAACCACGCAACGGAATCTACACCACCATCTGCGAGATTCAAGGTTACTTTCAAGAACCAAAGTGCATTCGAAAGCGACGGACCAGCGCAAGACTCTTTTGACACGGATGAGGAGTTGTTGTATCGGTCATATCGTGTCGCTTATGCCAATCTATTAGCCATTTGGGACCTCCCCGTCCAACAAAGCGAGGTAATGAAGATTGGGGCCGTGGCTGATCGAGTGGACGACTTGACCTCAAGTCATTACTGGAACAGCACCATCTCCACAGAGACCGCTTTGGAAAACCCACAGCCAGAGCCAAAACCCCAAGCTCTTGACTTCCAGCGCCATTGCGCCAGTTGCGGTCATGCATTGCAGCTCTCCATCTTCGAGAAACAACCCATAGTCCCGAACACACCCTCCAAGCGACACCAGCGCAAACCATCAGGCCGCCGATGCCCTAACTGCAAGCCCCGACAGCCACTGCCAACCAAACTACCCTGCGTTATCTGCGGCGAGGTGGTCGACGGTATGCTAATTCCCTGTCTGAGCTGCGGACATGTGAGCTGTTTCGACTGCCATCGGCACTGGTTCCTTCGACCGGCCGACAAATTCGACAGTCCATTCGACAATCCAGACCAGAACAAAGCTCTTCCAACCTGTCCAACAGGATGCGGTTGTCAATGCTCCGAGCACATTGCCGTTGATGTTCCCATGCCTGTGCGGGAACCGGTATCCCCTGGTCCCAAAGAATACGCACCCATCACCCAGCATAGCATTGTACAAGCGAAACATTCTCGTCGCCGACAATCTGACTCAGTTGTCTTGGATCCCGTCCGAAAGGAAGCACCGCAGCCCAAGGGCGTTGGCCAACCTGAACAAGAGTTGGATGTATGGCAGGATTCGTCGCCGTTCGCATCTCTGGCTCGCGGTCTGGGCGGTGGGTTGAGTCGTGGCTTGCAGCCGAAAGAAGCTCGGAAGAAGAATAAATCCATCGTGCCATCCAATTTAAGGAACTCTTGATTTTCAAGGTTGGCGTTGATCGGTGTTTGTGATTTTGCGTATATCCATTGCTTTCTGGGAAGGGCTTTCAACTTTTACCAACTTCATTAGTCAATCAGATTCATGAATTATCCATATAATGCGTTGTTGCTGAGTAGACTATAGTTCAAAGTCTTCATTTGAGGGTCTTCCCCTACACAACATTAGTGCACTGAGGGTGGCAAATCGCAATGTAACACTTTATGAAGTTCGGATGCTTGGCAGTTGGCCGATCTAGATCTCCTAGGCGTTGAGCACGGACGACGGTGGCACTGGCCTTTACCACTAGTCCAATATTAAGCTTGAAGACCTGCAGTGCACCAATCAAAACGACGAGGTATAGTTCCAAGGTTGTACCCATGTATGTAGTACATGTCTAGCTTAGCATACTTCACGACTACGACCACTTTACTGTGAAGACAATTAAGAATAGAAAATGAACTCGTGGCTTCATTAAAAGTATTTCACTCTTCAGGAAACAGAGCAAGCAACAGGGCGATCTAAAAATTCGGAAAACCGCTGAAAGCAGGGAGCAACAGTGGATATTTGCAAAAACACAAATACCGTCCGAGTCCCCACCACCCATGAAACAATGCGCCAGCCCATTTACCCAAATCTATTATTCAGAGCGAATTTACAGCTGCTTGAGGACATTCTCGGCGCGGGAGAGATCCAAGCTGTTCTTGGCGACCTCCTTGGCGGCGTAGGTGACCTTACCGTGGTCAATGACGATCACGTAGCGGTAGGTGCGACCCTCCTCATCAGCCCAGCCGATGCTCTTGGAGAACTTGGCATCGGGGTCGGAGAGGAAGAGCTAAAAAAAAGAGAAACCAGTCAGCCAATCGAGTTCATAGATTGTTTAGAAGAATGTAAAAGTGTGAGAAGGAGGGGTGATGGATCACATACAATATCATCTCCTTTGACACCGTTGGCCTTGCCCCAGGCGCTCATGACGTAGGCATCGTTGTAGGCAAGGACGGCAACCTGGTCGACACCCTTGGCGCGGAGCTCGGGGAGCTTCTGGATGTACTCGGGGACGTGGTTGGCGGAGCAGACGGGAGTGAAAGCACCTGTAGAGCGGAGTGGCGGTCAGCAAGACCACAGAGAAAAGAAAATTTTCGAAAGAGCGGTCACGTACCGGGAAGAGCGAAGAGGATGACCTTCTTGTTGGCCCACTCCTTGGAGGCGTAGTAGTTGATGGGGATACCGCAAGAGGTGATCTCACCGGCCTCCTCAGACCAGGGGATGTAACTGATTTTGTTAGCTAGATAGCAATTGAGAGGAGGAGAATGACTCACGAGAAGACAACGTCCTCGGGGAAAGCGTCACCAGCGTTGATACCCATTTTGATTGAATTGAGTGAAAAGAGAGAGATGAAGTTAAGATTGTGGATACGGAGAAGAAGAGAAGGGGGGAAGTGTGTATTTAATATTTACGGCTTACACATATCGGCCCTTCGGGATTTAAGTGGGCCCTGCATTCACAGACGTGAGGTGATCCGTAAAAGAAAGATACCGAACCACATGGATTATCAAGAAAGACCGCCGAGACTCGTTATCTGATTTGTATGAACGAATCGGATCTGTGACTCCGGACTCTGTCAGGGACTAAGATATGTTCGGATTTGATCTTCCTGGCTTTCTTGACCGTTCTTCGGGCTTCTTAGGAACAAGTTTATTGTTGTCATTGGCCAACAATGATGGTCCACGGTGGGGGATGATGTTATAGAATGCCCAATCTATCAGGCCGAAGGTGGGATGGCCGTATCATGTGACTTTTTTGCCTTGGTGCCTTGGTGCCTTGGCCTTTCAATCGTAGAATGGGAGTCCTTGATATCTCGATGATGTCCGGCTCGGACATACAAGATCCGACGTGAAATCCACCCACCTGTAACATTATAGCTACATATACAATATCCTTGAGAGTCACATTGCGACATATTAAGCCATACCTCGCCCAACATCCTCTATCTTCAGACGTCGCCTTGGATCGTCATATCCATGCCTCCTCCCCGTGCTCGCTTACAAGAAGAGAAGAAGAAGCAATGCATGTTTTGCTCTTGGTTCAACCTAAGAGCACAAGTTTCTTGGTCCCAAGCCCAATCAAGGCATCCCACTATGCTGCCCAGCCCACCGTGACACACTGCGAACACATAGCTAATGCTGCTGCTAACCTTGAAATAATACGCCGCTGGATAGCACCCTGGAGTGTAAACATGTCAGATGGGAGGCCACCAATCAGCATCATACTCCCAACGTACAGCCCTGAATCAAAGTATCGAGGTCTTCTCTATATCGGTGATGTGTAACATGATTCAGCCCAATAGGGTGAATTTTAACGTTCTGGATGGGCTTTCTCGCGTCTTTCAACAACCTGTACTTACCTATAGTCAGCTAAATACGTTAGAGCAGGGATACTGTCTGGGATTTGTGTCGATCAGTAATACTCGGTATCTTCAAACCAAAAGTTAGGCTGAAGGAGAAGAAACTCATTCTCCAATTAAAATCTTACATCTCCATATTCTTCTAATAGAGGACGTTTCACGCCGAAGACCAGTATCTCTTTCATACAGTGTCTGAATTTTGCTCCTTCTCTTTGTTTTTCTATTGGTCCGAGAGCGCTGAAAGACGACATTAACGCCTCGATCATGTTTTCCTTAGTACTTCCTCTTTAGATTTTAAAGCTTGGGACTCAGAATATCTGATGTGCATGGGGTCGTAAATATAGATGAGGTAAGCCTTCTTGGGCTATATTCCCACTATAGCGTTGTTTCTAGGACCATTCATGTCGATCTGTTTAACCTAGTATGTGCGTGTTTTTCCGTAATTTACCTAAATAATGCGGGATGACACTTAATGAGGCCTATGAAGAGATTCAAGACAGAGGTACTAGCCGTTCAGCGGCTAAGAATACCTATAACCTTTAGGTATTGCTACATCAAGAAGAAATCTGTGAACAAAGACTATGCGTGATTCCTATAACACAAAGTGAAAGGAGAGTGAAGGGAGGAGAAAAATGATTAACTATGTCATCCTGTTCTGATGCGAAAATTGATATCCCTCAAGCCAGCAAATAGAAGTGAAGGTCCTGTGACTCCTGTCTACTTTGGCAGTCAGGCTGCCTTTTTGCTTCTTCTCCACGCACGCTCAGCATCCTTCTACTTTAAAGCTCAAGGGTCATATCATACCCCCCACCATCTTCTTCTCGTCCCTCAATACCATCGATTCCATCATCACCCTTGTTACTTCATACCAAGAAAGAACCTAACGCTTTTCACCATGCCATCATCCCGTGTCATGACCAGACCACCAGAATGTGAGAATACTGAACTACACCTCTATCTGGAATCATATTGACTGACTTGCCTAGTTTGTCCAAATTGTGCTAGCTACTTGACCATTGCACCCCGTCCCACTGGTTCAGCCAGGAGATTTCGAAACTACTTTACTTGCCGAGCATGCCCTTATATCTGTCCTGTGTCAGAGAATGAATCTTCCGGTGATGAATCCTCTGGCAATGAGGCTGCTGGTAACAATACCGCCGATGATGAACGTGCCGCCAATGAATCTGCCGTTAAGCCTGTCACCAAGAAGCCTGCCGTTAAGGAGCCTGCCGCTAAGGAGCCTGTCACCAAGAAGCCTGCCGTTAAGGGGACTCTCCAATAAGCCTGTTGCCAGTGTGCCTACTGCCAATGAACTTGTTGACGATGAAAATACCAGCGGGGAATCTATCGATGAATCCGTCGACGGTGGATCTGTGATAAAATTGGAACATGAATTTTGAGGGAATCTCTAAAAGGCATACGATGCAAAAAGCTTAAGACGGCCGAGTGCCACCTGAACATCACTCTTGACTGATACAAATCCCCCTCGCAGGGTTCTGTATTCTATGCCTAGTTTCAAAGTGTCTATTCTACCAATATGTTCTTGACAAAGGTATCTCAACATATGATAACAGAAGTTCTCGAGAAAACCACACAAAGAGAGCAAATTTAGGTGTTCCAGCTACGTCACGTAGCCAAGATGTCTGAAATTGAGGATGAGCTATCGACTCCGAGATGTCTGCTTAAGTCTGAGAAAACATCCCAATCGGAGAGTTAAAAGCCTAGATATATAGACTTGGAAAAGCTTTAGGATTCCAGTGAGAATATAGTGCTATCTGATAGAAAGCATGCGATCCTTACAAAATCCCACATTCCATCAAGTTAACTTCACTGCAAGTGTGCAGGCATTCTATACAGTCAATTCACCTTGGTTTGAATCAAATCCACAGCACTCCGTGATCTCAAAAGTTTGTGAACCTACACAGAAGAGCTGTTTACCTCAATAGCGCAATCATACTAGGATGTCTTGGAAAGAAAAATGGGAAATATTCTTTCTGAGCCGGCCATTGAAAATGCATTTTACCAGCTACTCATGAGGAATCTATCGGTGGGGCCAGCACCACTCACCAATTGTCAACAGCAACGCCAGAACCGGGTATCAAATATATGATCAGAGTCAGATTGTCAATTGAAATATTACTTCAAGTCTCATGTAATATGGTATAGTAGTTCAAACCCCACCGGTCTTCGATTCAAAGGCGATGGATGTTCTGAGACCGACGGCTTTCCTTACAATGAGATCGACCGCCCAGCTGTCAAGCTCCAAGGAGGTTGGGAAACATCAGAACGGAGACAATTTGAGAGGTTAACACTTTATGATACATAGACTGAGGCTTGCATGAAAAAAGGATAATATTAGAAAATGGTATTCGTATTTGACGTTTTGTTTTTACTATATATTTATGTATACCGTATTCTTCAACGAGGCGATTGTTTTATCAATTGCCCCCCTTTCTCTCTATCCTACCATATCCTACCATTTCCTCACAAGAGCTTCTAACAGTGACTAGTTCTTTAGTAATGGTTCTGCTCTATAAAAAAATAACGAGAGGTATTCAAAATAGGAGTCAGAGTGTAGTAAATTAGAAACAAGAACTAAAGCAGGCTCAGTATCTTGCCATTTGCCTAACGTTTAGTGACCACCATACATGAACGATTGTTTTGTCTGAATGACATTAAGGCAGCAGATGCCTCGCGTGATCGTCACAGTAATGCCGTTTCGGGGTATATATACTCACTAAGCAAATTTTCGTCATCGCAAGTGTGGCCGAGTGGTTAAGGCGCGACGTTTAGGCCGTCGTTCTAACGAGCGTGGGTTCGAATCCCACCGCTTGCATTTCTTTTTTCAAGACTATTTTTTACCAAAATTACTAATCCACTCAAAAAGCCACACAAGATGATCTAGTCGTTGATCCTCAGCTTTTTGATGAATTATTCATTGCGCCTAAACGGTTGAACAACCATACTGTAAGTGATACTTCGGCGTGCGACGAGCGCCCCACAACAATAATATCAGACTCTGTTGACAGAAATCTGACTATGTGAAACGCTAGGTATACAATCTACTAATGACAAGCTCATTCTAAAGAGGATTTATATGTGTTCTTACTGTTGTACGTTCTTCCAAACGACGAGTAGAGCTCACTATGACACAGGGTGTAAGCCCTATCCTATCGGTGGCCAGGAAAGCCAACCATAACGGTGAGGCTGTTTGGCATGTTTAGCGAAATAGTAGCATGATAGGTAGTTGGCAATATCTCGGGGCAAAGCCGTCTTTCATCGAACAGAATAAACGTTTAGTCATCCAAATTAAGTATTTATTGCCTTCTACTTTCGCTGATTCTGTCTTCAGATCCACACTGCCAGCATCAGGATACCACTGATTGATCAATGCCGCTGGTAAATGAAATCTGTTCTTGGCCAGGGCGGTATAAGTGCTTCTAAATTCCTTTAGAAAGATACCAACAATTCCCCGTTGAACGGGGTTAGGGGACGGGGTTGGAGAACGGATTTCGGGATTCAATTGTAAGCACCATATATGCATATTCTAAGTCCACTATTATTCACGATATATTCATGCCATGGCAGAAGTAAATTTACTATCGAGGGAAAAGCCATCGCCGACTGGACTAGGTGTCCAAGAGCCCCGAGCACTGATAGAAGAACAATATCAAGGACAAGAAGTACCGGCGCAATCCAATAATACCCATGACCCTCTCACTCCAAAGAAAACATGGCGTTTCTGGGCCGTATTCCCAGCCCTATGCGTGACAACTTTCCTCTCAGCCCTTGATACATCCATTCTCTCAACCGCCCTCCCGACAATAGCCCTTGATATCAATGCCGGCGAGCTATACATGTGGATTACAAACTCCTACATTCTATCATCAACGGTAGTCCTACCACTATTTGGACAGACGGCAAACATCTTCGGTCGACGATGGATGCTCATCGTTTCGGTTGTCATATTTGCCCTAGGGAGTGGCATGGCCGGTGGTGCAAAGAACACCGGACTTCTTATTGCGGGACGAACAATACAAGGAATCGGCGGTGGCGGTATAAACACTCTCGTGGACATCGTCATTTGTGACCTGGTCCCCCTCCGCCAACGAGGTAAATATGTCGCGCTCATGGCAGCCGTGTGGGCAGTTGGAACAGTCATCGGCCCCGTTCTAGGCGGTGCATTCGCTCAGTATGTCTCATGGCGGTGGGTCTTCTATATCAACCTGCCGCTTTGTGCCGTGTCGCTTCTACTGCTAGTGCTGTTTCTGCAAGTTACACACCCAAGTGGCGGTGATGGGGTATGGCACCAGATTAAGCGTGTGGACTTCGTTGGTAATTCCATCCTCACAGCTGCCGTTATCTCGATTTTGCTAGCACTCTCTTGGGCTGGGACAACATACGCTTGGTCTTCGTGGAGAGTTCTTGTGCCTCTTATCTTAGGAATAGGGGGCCTGTTCCTTTTCTACGCCCATAAAATATCACGATTTTGCACTGAGCCCTCGATTCCGCTCCGGCTGTTCTCAAGCGGGACTGGGATGTGCGCGCTATTGATTGCTTTTCTTCAGTCTATCCTGCTCTACTGGGTCGGATATTTTCTACCAGTCTACTTCCAGGCTATACGTAACTCGACTGCCACGGAATCCGGGCTATATGTGCTTCCTATCACTGCCGCAATCGCGCCTTTTGGCATCGTCACGGGAGTCATCATCGCCATGACTGGGAAATACCGCATCTTCCACTTCTTGGGATATACATTCCTCACGATTGCCAGTGGCCTGTTCTCACTTCTAGATGCCCGTTCGCCTGCTCGCGACTGGGCTGGCTTCCAGATACTTTTCGGAGCTGGTTCTGGTATGATATTCTCCAGCACCCTACCTCCGATCCAGGCATCGCTATCCGAATCTGATGTGGCCACTGCAACCTCTACATGGGCATTTATGCGTAGCTTTGGTTGTATATGGGGTATTGTTATTCCGACCACTATCTTCAACGCACGTATCCAAGAGCTGTTGCATCACGTTAGTGACGTGTCTCTGCGTGCAAAGCTCGCTAATGGCGGTGCATATGCTATGGCCAGTCAAGGGCTGATGCGTACTTTGAGAAATACTCCGACACTTATGGCGGAAGTGCTCGGTGTTTATCAAGATAGTTTACGATGGGTCTGGTGGATTTCGATCCCGTTTGGGGGCATCGGGTTGCTTCTTTGTATACCCATTAAGCAGTTGAAGCTCACGGAAGATTTGCATACAGAGTTTGGATTGCAAGGTGCAACAAGCAATAGAGAAGAAGGGTAAAATTGGCAATTTCCTTTTTTCGAAATGGGCGTGGCTCTGTGACCTTCTCAAGAGTCACGAGACAGGAGCCGTCACGGATTTTTCATGGCTCCGATGTCTGTATTGATTTGTTTCTTCATTCTTCTGTAATATGTCGCTTTTTATCTATCCGGCAGTTTATTCCTCTCTTGAGGTGACTCGACTGCTCCAAATCCGGATCACTTGAAAAATAGTCGCGAAAAGAGATGACCAAAAACCACTTTAATGCCTTGTATCATTGACATGAGGTGTCGTCTCCATCAAACGAGCCAAAGTAACAGCTTCCCGAAGCGCCCGTCCAACATGCCCACGCACACCAGCCTCTTCCATCACCATCAACCCACCAATTGTGCATCCCTCGGGAGACGTCCCCTGATCCTTCAATAGAGCGGGGTGAATACCACTCTGAAGCATCGTCGCCGTCCCTTGCATCGACTGAAAGATCATAGTATGAGCTAGGTCTCGCGGAAGACCCACCGCCACTGCAGCATCAATCATTGCATCGCAAATCACAGCGAAAAAAGCCGGCGTTGAGCCCCCGACAGCGGTTGTAGCATTCATCAACCTCGGATCCACATGTACTGCCTTGCCAATCTGCTCGAAGATCGACGTCGTTATCTGGAGATACCTCTCCGGCAATGCAGGCTCTGATGTCTCAATAGCCGTAAGTGATTGAGACACCTGGGCTGCAATGTTCGGCAATGTGCGCACCACCCAGGCTCTGTCCGCTGTGTTGTCCGCGGTGGTTGCGCTCCCGTATAGTGTGGTTTCAAGCTTTTCTCTTGTCCACCCGGCTGCAATGCTGATGATCAATTTGTTGGCCAAGGCCTCACGGAGCCCGGTTTGTGTGAGGACAGTCCCGATATCAGCAGGATCCGCGCCTAGGATGATGACATCGGCGTTTTGGACGGCTTGGACATTGTTGCCGCGGGAAATGCTTATTTTGTCGAGATATTCGGCGAATCTCTCAGACAGTCTTTTTTCTGAGCTTTCACTGCGCACGCAGGCGGTGTATTGAGCAAATGGTAACTCTTTGGACTTCTCTGCGGGTGCATTGATCAAGCCGTTTAGAATGGCAATGCCCAGGTTTCCTAGTAATATGAGTCGATGTATTTTGTCTTTAGGGTTGTATACTTACCACAACCTAGGATGCACAGGGTTCCATTTTGAATATCCATGATTTAATTCAAGTCCAACAAGAGGAAATGGAAGAGAAAGAGCGCAGGTTTCGAATTTTGAAGCATCTCGGGAGCACTTCCGAGTGTGGAGAATCATACCCCGCTCGAATACCTATATACAGACATCGACGTATATAAATATGTGTGTGTAGGTACATATAAATCCATGGGCATAGGTATATCTTCCCAGAGATGTGCATTTCTCCCAAAAAAAACGTGCTTGCATTTCCCCCCAAGTCTTGGGGTACTCCGCAGCCGGTTACCAGCTAGACTAGGAGTCATGAATTTGAAAATCTCAAAAGAGGCTTAGAAGTATTTACATATCTGACATAGAATAGAACTTATATTGGCAATGTAGAACTCCAGAGAGACACAGAGAGACGTGTCGGAGAAACATCGGAGGTCTTCCCGGCTCCCCTCATTGCTTTCCCTATCTTGGCCGTTTTCTCCAATTTCCCGCAAAACATGACGCTTTTGGGAATGCGGGGAGAAGACTATATCAGTTCAATGGTCCAATATACGACCTTGTATCTTTCAACATGATTTCCACATCCGATCCTATTATTGTCGTCGGCGCTACTGCTGGCCTCTCGGTAGCACTACATCTTTCGCTACGCGGTTACACAAATGTTTCGGTGTTTGCAAAGAATGATTCTATCCCTTTCGGAGACTTGACAAATGTAGGTCCAAGCCGCGTACTCAGTATGGAAATTCGAGATGGAAGAATTGCTGAGGGTTGTATAGGTCTATCGCGCAGCACAAGATGCAGGCGTACAATTTTTCCTGGGACACCATGTCGACCAAATAGCCTACGTGAGCACATTGACTGGGAAAAAGAATGCCGGTATCCGCACAAGGAATGGGTTTTATCCCTCCTCGCTCGTCATCATCGAGACCGGGGCTGGGGATAATTCATCCGAAATTGGCCACTTGCATGCCCCCAACGCCTTGGCCATCCCCCTTTCTTCCTATACCAACGTCAACTCGAATCTCCTCGTCGAATATGTACCACAGACTTCTTCTTCGGTAATATTACTGTCGAGAAACTCATCACAAAGCTCCAAGATGTCTTTGGTGGGACCCCTGGTCCTAGATCTCTTGGCGACAACGAGTGGCCAACAATCGGACAATTCATCTCAACCCTTGTCTAAGCTGTGAAGGGGTTTCATCAAGGACAAAAAGACATATCGAAATATTCCCTCATCACCCAATAATTCCTGGTCAAAACTGACTGAATTTTCTTGACACCGCTCGAGGCATACGCTGTATCAACTGAGGTATTTCTACAGTGTAAATATACAAACATTCAAAATCCAACCAATGACTACCATGGCCATCGATACAAAAACAGTCCAGCTGCATTCTATTCATGAATTACTTTAAACGTTAGATTTCAAGATAGGATCAATAAGTCGATATTTGCCGTCGCCGACGAGGCTTATCAACCCGTTCAGGGTTAACCAAGTCAGGAGCTCCCGGAATCAACACAGCCCAACCAAGACAAGGACGACAAAGACCCATCGCAAAAGCTTCGGTGATACGGAGAACTGGACGTGGATTGGGACATGGTGTCCGTCTCTCACGAGCATTCGCTTCTTGGCAGCGCTCGATCCACACTGCTTCGGTGTGTCCACACCCACTGATGCCGCAGTGGCCGCGGTACCATTTAAAACGCATTTTGCACATTATGGGTGATATTTGTTGGAAATAGTAGATATTCAGGAGTAAGTGACCCCAATACTAGTCTTGGGTGGAGAAGCTGGGGTAGAATATGGGGGGTGGGAGGATATGCTTGATACTTTATCTTTGTAGGGTCTCTGAAAGGCTATGGAGCTGAATGAAATGAAGGATATTGCATTTGTGTTTCTTTCATTATGAACCTCACCTTGTCTCTGACAAAGAGATCTGGATGGTACAAGTGTGACTGAGAACAATGCATTATTTGTTGATATCTTGATCCTCAGTATTCGATTGATTTTTATTCTATCCTGTGCTGTACTATCATATGGATTGACTAGACGTCTGATATTTTATGCTCGCTATGTGATGTGGAGTCAGGGCCTGCTTAAATTAATACCAGTCTGCTACATTTATCTAAATATGCTCTCCATGATCATACAGAAAGCTTGTTCCCTATTAAAACACTATCGAATGTACAGCATAATTTGCTAGCACTCTTGATAAGAAGAAATGCAGACACAAAAGAATCTCGTCGTAATGATACGTAGGGATGTATATTATCGGTCAATGGTATGGTATCTGTATTTTAATACACGTAGAATGCATAGTGGACTTACCCCTTGGCAACTTTGTATGATTGTAGTTTAGATTCAAATTAGGGCTCGATTCAAAAATGACATGCCCCATGATTCTTTCAAAGACGTCGATACGCCGGGCGAATACGAAAAACGATTTTTTAATATCCAGGAAGGACACACAGAAGCTTGGTCATGCCTCTAAGCGCCGGAGACTCCACTGCAAAGGTGTATAGCCGAAGACATTCAAGGAATGTACCTGACTAGAGAGGCAAGCTTCAAATGCCGAGTCTTTTTTTTTGAAAACAGACTTTCAATTGTTGGCCTGGATTGCCGTATCATTAGCGCTCTACCAGTGGCGTCCTTAGACCCTCCGATCTTTTCTCGCCGGCATAGTCTCTCAATGGTCCCATATATCAACTGCTACCTCAGCGGTGACTTTGCCGTGATCCCGATGCGATGTTACCTCTTGATAAAAGGATCTTTCCCATTCCCTAAGTACATCAATCTGTATACAATAGAGCGATTCAGCGCACAACCCACAATAAGCAGACATACTACGGGCCAATGGACGCCATTTCACTGCTGGATCTCATAGATTGCATACAAAAGCCAATCCCACCTTGTCTGGGGACAAGCCTTGCCAATATTTGCTGGTAGGCTCGCAAAGATACCCATAATTACGCACACTTTCCGAGGTACAGTAGCTCCTGGGACTAGTGTAGATAGGCGTTAAAAACGGGCCAGTGGACCCCTGTACGTTGATCGGCTTGAACTGCCTAGAAAGCAGCTCCCCGTGTCGCATTTAGGCGCGAAGAATACAGCTAAATTTTAGTGCACTTCTTACTGTAAATATTCGAATACCAGCTCATTACGATTCGGTGTAATATTCATATTCCCCCGAATAGATAGAATCTTTTTGCGAGTATAAATGATGCTTTCAAGCGATTCTATCATCTCGTAGTATCACTCTCCTTTCTTCTACTTCGATTCTCGCAATTCGACAGGCACCACTCCTTTGCCGGTGATCGATTCCAGCTCAATATACTACTAGGTGTAGATCATTCTACCTACTTCCTAACGCCCCAGGTCTCTCAGATGCATGGAAATCCCATCTTCCCGATATCAAGCGGAACTTTGTCAAGTACCCAAGGAGTGCGGCTGAGTGAGATCTACGAAGTCGATTTGAAGCTATTGTTTGAGGGCAAATATAGCGGGAAGACTCCGAAGCCTTCGCCGTTTTTTTGTAATGGATACGGACGTTACATCTGATCGTACGGACTGGAAATTGACTTTGAAGGCCAATAAAGAGCCAATAACTATGGCCCAGAAATATAAGACTTGGCATGTCGGCCTCCGAAAAAGCACTGGTTTCGCAGAAAGGTCTTACATATCACATCAAAGGGTAGCCACTACTACCGGTCGGAGCTTGAATGAGTTGGATAGCTTAGGTAGCTGCGATTAAAAGAGCACGAGGACGGAATAAGGGTCAAATAGAGGTGACAATATGTGTGATTGGTACTCGTCTACAATCCAAATTTGAACTGATATCTAAGTGCTCTCCATAGCCTTCGCACCGAGCTAGATAATCGCACAAGGTTAAGTAACAGCATGATTTCTTAAAGGGAAAATCTACCCTAGGGCCGGGTGTGGCATGAGCATTTGCGAGTATAATCTTCTAAGGGATCGATATATTGTTTATGTATATGTGGTTATGTACTGTGGGACTTTGGTACTAGCACCAGGGTTTTCCTGATGCTGGGAGTATCCAAAAGTGATACTCGTGCTCATAGTCGTGAAACATGTGTGCACACCTAAGAAAATAACCGCTGATCTTGTCTCTCTCCTGCCTCATTTGTTTTTGAACCTCGACCGCCTGTGCAAGTGTCATTGAATCATGCTTCTGTGCGTTTTCCATTGACTGTGATGTTTCGACCCAGCTCGGGTCCTGCGGGGGGCACATTTCGAGTTGAGCAGATTCGATAATGCGGGTCCACCAACCACAAGGTCGCAAATCTTAGGTAGCCTGGCCGAGATGGGTCTGCGAGACTGAAAGGCTCAGCCTTGAACCGCACGGTATTTGGCCAAGTAAGTAGCTGTCCACTCCGTGAAATCGGAATAGATCCTATATTCTGTAGAGCCTCCGGGAAAGTACCACTGTCTATGTCCCATTCGGGAACGTCAAAGAGTCGATTCATAGCATAGTACTTCTCGCTATTAAACTCATAGCTGTCTATCTTTGTCTCCTGTTGGAATGAAACCTTTGCATCTTTGATGTTATGTATATCAAAGTAGCATGTGGCTGTGGAGACAATATGCTCATTGAGGATACCGGCAACGTTGTAATGAGAATCACCCTCATACATAGGATTTTCGGGTGTCAATTCAATAGTTGACAGTCGAACAATGATTTGCAGACCCTCAAATTGACCTTAGAGAGACACAGAATAGTACTGGTGATCTGGGTCTGGAGGTAGGGGAGTTCTATCATCAAGATCATAGTATTTGGGCATAATAGCGCGTCCTGTATTTTCACCCTTCTTCCATTCATCATATGTGAAGGAGATCCCTGGCTCTACTCCTCTCACAGAATATAGCCGCTTCCATTTGGAAATGATTAGCTGTTTTAGTTCCTTGGAAGGTTTCCATTGCTGTGGCTTTATACTAGCAACAATATCATGGTACCCAGTGTCAGGCCATACACGGTATCGCCTCTCGGGCTCAGGACGACTAAGATATTCTCTTACTTGCGATATAATACCCGGCCATTCTTCATCTGCGACACGCACACTTCCCGATATTGCTCTGGTCATAGATCGAAAACTCTCAGGATGATTCAAACCATCTTCGACTTGGAAGTCATAAGTTCTGATTCGAATGGGTGTCCGACCTTGGTCCCCAAAGATAAGCATTTCATTCCACGGTTGCACGGCAGCCGAAATCAGCCCTTCGAGCGCTTTATATATATCCCTTTCTTTTGGATGCACACCATTGATATAAGAGGTAATCTTTACTTCTCCTTGCTGGTTCAAAGTAACCTCACAAGGAATATACTGAAAGGCATTCGACCAGTAGAAAGACTTCTGATCAGCACGCAAATCTTTCTCGTCTTTTTCTCTCTCTCTTTGAAATGTATCTCTTTCTCGTAGAAGGAAGGTTCCTTGGGAATCGGAGTAATCTGAGCCTATAGGGGTCTCTAGGACTCAGGTCTCTCCATATCAACCTTTCCACCGTCGGTAAGAACTAGAGTGCGTCCATAAACAAGAGGGTACATAGAAGGGTCAACCACATGTCGAACTGGACTCTCAGGATCAACTGCAGGGGGGTCCGCTAAGGCAGAAGGTAAGGCAGATCTCAATTTCGATTTCGAAAAAAGTGGCGACGTGGATTCGCGAAGCTGTTTGAGAAGATCGCCAGAAACTTGGGACTTGATGACCCGTGAGTCTGTATCAAACACAGTAACATAGCCAGTGCGCTTGAAATCAGACGCCTTGTCTCGCAATTCTCGTACACACCACTGCCATAAGGGTTCATCGAGATCGAAGACTAAATCCGCGTGCTGGTGCCATTCTTCCAATGTCTGCGGATCCTCGCACTTGTTCTCCCATCCTGGCTGCTCTGTAACGTACGACATGAATTGAAGCATGCAAAGCTCTCGTAGAAATACTTGGGGAGTTTGTCTCCAATCGGCGATTCCATGAGCAAACCGATTATCTTTTGAATGCTCATAGTGCACAGGAATACCATTAAAACCAGGGACTCGTAAGGGACCAGTGCCGCTATTGTCTAGTTTGATAGGTGTAGGGTCCACGATTATCATCTGTAAGTGGCAGCAAGATGTAGAGAAGTGGACTCGGATTCGTCTAGCGCGACCAAGTAGTCGGGGATGAAAATGGAGCCGTTGGAGGATGGCCATGGAGAAAGTTTATTTGTCAATTTGAGGATGCTTTCATGAGATGGGAGAAGTGGCATTGATGGGAGAGAGAGAGAGAGAGAAAGAGATGTCAGATTTCTGATCTAAAGGGCGGTTTGACTAGAACCGGTGACTAGACCATGGTAATTTTGATACAGGCCAGTTACGGGGAATTTCGGGATCTCGGGAAGACTAGCGTGATCTTAGCGCGGGAACTAAAGCTTGTCCGGGTAGGATGTGGCTTGTTTTGCTTGCATTGCGGGATACACTACGGAGTATTGTAAGCCTCATTGACCACACACGGAACTCCGCGGGAAGTTGATAGCGATTATCGCTAGTGGCGTCGAGTGAAAATGAACTTGGAAAGTGCCTGATAGTACGGAGTCACTATCAGTAGGTCCATGTTTGAGCCTTTGATATTTACTACCCCGATAAAGAAAGTGCTGGATAGAATACTTTACATTGACTTGCGCTATGAATTAACACCTAGAGCTGCTATAAACGATGCAATCAGCTTCACTCTGTGCTTTTGTCTTTCTGGCTATAGATGGGCTCTTTTCCTCCTCGGTTACCGCCTCTTGCTAGGAATATAGATATTTCAGTCCTGTGGAATCATCAATAGGACCAATGAAGCGTTGGCCATCACACATAATGATATAATAAAATCTCTGGAGCGTAATATCGATGAATTTTGACAACCATGATATGCGATATATCATCCAAGTCGCCCTACATTCATTGATTAAGTTCAACGAATCGGAAATTTGAAAGTAACAATTGTTGAATTTCGAATGTCAGAGGCTTTAATTGATGATGAAGGCTAATGTCTTGAAAATGGAAAGACATTCTGCAGGAGATTCCAAAGTTTTCGAGATATACAAATCATCATTGGAGGAAAGATCTCAGTTAACAGCATTGTGGTATAACAATTCAAAACCGTGGGAAGTGAAAGGGGAGACAACCCAGAATGCCAAACAATCTAGGGTTTTGGTGCAAACAGTACAAACAAGGGCGCATGACAAACCGTCATGGATCGATGCACTTGATGGTGGCCATGAATCTAGACAATCTTGATACAGAATCATGTCTCTATAGAGAAAGGCCAGCTGCCTGAGAATAGCAATGAAGAGAAATTCAAAAAGACGTTCATGTTCCTACCCTCGAGCCTTGTAGATTGCGGCCTAAACATAGTTCATCTGATATTGTGGCGTCGTGTCATGCACTAGAGAGCTCAGGCCAGAACGATCATGAATGGAACAATATGTATGGATACATGGTTGTCCGGGAATAATAATTCCCTGTTTCAATATCCAATTTTCACTTTTAATTTACTTAGAAGCTTAGCGTGAGATAACACAAATTTGACAAGGTGGTGGGTTAGCGTGTAGTTAGGAAGCGGATATATATATCTTCCACATCTACGGCAAAAATCTATCAAACCCTTTATGATAGACGAACAGTCTAGCACTTACACTGGTGTTTGAGCATCAACTGAGAGAAGAGTTTGACTTGTCTACTAAGCAGACTTATGTTAGATACCACGAGCCAAAACATATGCTTTTTGTTGCAAGATCTAGTACGATATGTGCTTGTTGCTTATATGGCTAGAGATACGCACTGTATAGTTTCTGCTTACAAGCAAGATTGTTCTATATAATTATCCAGATTGTTCCATATAATTATCCAGATAATTATCTCATGCACAACTCTCCAACGTTTTTTGATAGTAAACAACAAACCCTTGATTGGTGTCAGAACAGTCCTCCCCGGCAACGTGAAACAGCCTTACGTGAACATGACCAAAGGTGCCTACGGGTCCTCCAGGGCTTGGAAGGGGTTAAGCTTCTCAACCTCGCAATGCGACCTGAAGACAAATTTGATCTCATACCCCCCGAAATTATCTACCATGGCGGATCTCAAGCCACCATTTACCGAAGAAACTGCGCAGAAAAAAGTCAAAGCTGCACAGGATATGTGGAATACGAAGTACGTATCGGATTTCTTATCTCTACGACCCTTGGTAGACCATGTGGTCGAAAGAAGGGCATTGAAGGTTTCATCCCTTGCATTCTTACCAGCTTGTGGTATGTGTCTGTGCAGATCGCCCTGGACATATTTGAGCATACCTCTAGCGGGAAGGGTGCATCTTGCGTTCTAGAGGTGGAATACTGTTTTTGCAAAAACAGATGACGTAGTGATTCCGACCGCTCTGACCATGCATGATTAGGGACCCTGCCCGAGTCGCTCAGGCATACACCCCAACATGTATCTGGCGTGTTCGAGACTCGTTCTTTACCGGCACAGAGTCTATCGTTGCGTTCTTGGAAGGGAAATGGAAGCGTGAGCAGAGTTATCGACTTCGAAAGGAACTTTTCGCTTTCTGGGATGATCGCATCGCTGTACAGTTTTGGTATGAGTTTCAGGATGTGGAGGATGGAATGCGTTGGAAGCGGTGCTATGGATTGGAAGACTGGACGTTTGATGAGAAAGGAAAGATGCGGAAACGTATGATGAGTGGGAATGACATCCTGATCGGACCCGAAGGGAATGGCGAGGGACGATGGTTTACAGATGGGGTTGATGTGAACGATGTATCTATTAGCGAACGGCATTGGTGAAGAAACAATGGATATGAATCTATGCGAATACGTGAATTAAGCCCGAGAAGGTGATGATTGCGCTAGTCCTGCGAAGCTCTATAGAAAGTCCATATAAGGAAGGCGAGAAGGTGTATGTACCGTCTGTGTGGCTTTGCCTCGGCCCTTAATTTGAACTCAAGAACCGGAGATAAGAACACGGAGAGCTTAGGAGTATGGAATGCTCAACCCGAACAAGACCCTTGTACGAAGTACAAATAGAATGGCTTTGTGACCCTGGAGTTGTGGGTTGCTTTGTTATTATACCCCTTCTTTAGGGGAATGTGGTCTCTCCTGTCGATCGCAATTGATATTGACAATGAGAGCGCATTATGCGAGTCTAAACTATTCGATATTTATTTATTTGAATTTGACACTGGAACTAGAACTCTAAAATACAAGGGAAAAAAATAAATAAAGACAGATCCGTTCATTTAGGCGCCAGTAGTTGGAGTGGTGGAAGTGTGACTGTGAATAGTGGCATAGATATGCGAACGGCTCTGCCTCGTCACCGTGGTAGGCCAAACCACACCGACAGGCGAAGAGGTATACATGGGGTCAGGCAGTAGTAAATAGCATATAGTAAATAGTAAACAGTAGACGGTGACAAGGACATTCCGATGGGAAGGAAGGAATTTCTCTCATTCCAGACCCAGCATGCCAACCGTTTGCTCAACATCGACACTTTTCATCCTGCCCCCTCCATCTTGTGTTTTCATCTCATTTTCAGTGGTTTGGGGTTTGTCCTTTGAGATCTTTGTCCTTTTTCCCTTCTCCCGCTGCATCTTCTTCGATGATGTGGTGTTGACCAGTCCTTGTCACTCTTTGGTCTTTTTCGTCTTTCTTTCCCAGAAGATTCTGGAGCCGATCTTTACAGCTAATTTCTTCTCGTTGACAACCAGAAGGAGTTGATTTTTCTTCTTTCTTTCTGCGTTGCACCTAATATCTTGTACGTTGGGGATTGATATCTTTCTCAACGTTGACCAAACAGCTAATGCGTGATCTAGATTGACCACAAAACCACTCAAGCTTGGGCAGAAGAGAGAAGCTTGGATAGCACCAACATGTCTTACACCACCTCGAGCATGGACCAGAGATTGTCAGAGATGAATGAATCTCAGCGAAGGCGACGGCCCTTGGGAGATGTGTCGAGCCGGATGAACCACTCCAAATCGCCAAATATCGAGACACCACGCATGACAAACGAAGAATATGAGCAACTGAAGAGTCCTGACCGGATGTCTCTCTGTATGACTCCTACCCCGCAACGGAACAAGGAGAACGAGCGCCTTTCCGTGGCCACGGATTTCCAGCCCAACTCAGCCCGGAACTCCATCATGTCAGCGGCGTCCATCCTGTCAAGCAGAGGAAAGAGAAAGACACATGTGGGACCATGGCAGCTGGGACGCACATTGGGGAAAGGGGCCACTGGACGGGTTAGACTGGCCAAGCATGCCGTCACCGGACATACGGCTGCCATCAAGATCGTGTCAAAAAAGTCGGCTGCTATGGTTCAGAGTGAGAGTATCGCGGCAATGGACCGTAATATGGGAAACTTTCCCAGTAACCCAGCAACCCGGCAGATGCCGTGTGGAATTGAACGAGAGGTGGTCATCATGAAGTTGATTGAACATCCCAATGTGATCAGTCTCTATGATGTTTGGGAAAACCGCGGGGAATTGTTTGTGCCCACTCCCTTTGGAATGAAAAATAAACTAACTCTATATCTAGGTACCTTGTTCTTGAACACGTCGAGGGTGGAGAGTTGTTTGATTATGTGTCGAAGAATGGACCTCTACCCGAAGAAGAGGCCGTGCGATTGTTCCGGCAGATCATTGCGGCCCTTGGGTATTGCCATCGTTTCAATATCTGCCACCGCGATCTGAAGCCCGAAAACATCTTACTTGATTCGAATCATAATGTCAAGCTTGCTGATTTTGGTATGGCTGCGCTGCAACCTGCGGGTCACTGGTTGAATACTTCGTGTGGTAGCCCTCATTACGCGGCACCTGAAATCATTTACGGTCGAAAATATCGTGGTGATAGAGCGGATATGTGGAGTTGCGGTATTATCCTCTATGCCCTTTTGACCGGTTATCTACCTTTCGACGGAGGGGATTTGGGGAACACTCTGCGGCTTGTGAAGAAAGGAGACTATGTTATTCCTTCCGAGTTGAGCGATGAAGCAGCCGATCTCATCCAGCGTATTCTCCAAAAGCGCCCGGAGGATCGGATATCCATGAAAAACATTTGGTTACATCCTTTGCTAACCAAGTATGAAAAGCTTCACAATGCCATGGTGGACCATTACGTCGGCCCTCCTCCCGCGCTGTCGGTCAAGGACTGCGGCCAAACTTTGTCCTGTCAGCAGGACATTGATCTGGATATCCTGCGCAATTTGCAGACTTTGTGGCATGATGTTAAAGCCGAGGACCTGATTCAAAGGCTTCTATGCATCGAGTAAGCACGACCCGCCAGTAACCGAAACGAGCTATAAGTTGCTAACAAATCCCTCTCAGGCCGACCCATGAGCGAATGTTCTACAATGCCTTGGCAAAGTTTCGCGATGAGCAGCTGGAGAACTACCAAGGACAGCCTCTGGAGTACTCAGCCAGTGACTATCACCACATCTCTCGCACTGGTGGAAGAGTTCGTCGAGGCCGCAGCCATACGGGTCAGGGTAGCTCCAAACGCCGCGCTCAGTACCCATCTGTGAGAGAGTTCCCTCGGCGGCTCAACTCCTTCAAGGAGCCGATGTCCTCGGGTACCATGGAGAGCTATGACCCATACAGGTCACCCAATCACGGCAGCGCGGCATCCGAGGCCCAGTATGCCCATATTACTGTCCACCGAGAGCCGTCAGAGCAATCTGAAGCTATGTCATCGTCACCGAGGGTTAAGCCTCCCCCTTCAATTGTGGAGGAGGAAGAGCCAGAGGAATTGGATGGGCCGGATGACTCGCCATTCACTGTTCTCCAAAAGCGCAAGCATGGGCCTAGCTCCATGAAGTCTTTCGTCTCTTCTAAGGTACCTCATTCCAGCTCCCGTGCACCTGGGATATCAGCACGTTCCATGAGCTATCGTCGTAACGTTTCTTTTCACCACGCTCGTAACCGCTCTCATGGATCCACGAGTGTCAAATCCAAGAAGAGAAAGATTGCACCACCAAATACAAGCCAGAAAAGTGAGATGAAGAGGTCACCGAGTACCTGCAGTTTGCAACTTATGGCAGAGGGCGTTGATATCCCGGAGATGCCAAGTAGTCCACCACTACCAGCACAGCCAACTGTGGTCCGAGCAAATGGGCCGAAGGTGAAGAGCATGGGGCAAGTCAGAAAAGTTCGTGAGTCAGACTACACATGGAAGGAGGATACTCGAAAAGTATCCCACGAGCTGAGTCAGATTTGCGAAGAGGCATTCAATGGAAGCTCTGTGACAACAATTCGCACTACGAGCGGTGGATCTGGATATGAAACACCGGCGACTCCAGTTTCTATGGCAAGCCCCGAGCAAATTCAAGCTACTTCAACCATCCTAGGGTCTAATACTTTGCAGGAGTCAGCACACTCTTATAATATCAAGGTACTGACCGAGACACGTCAAAAGTTCATTGAGCACAGTCGGGGCCGAAATGACAATGTTCCCGCCTATCTTTCTGGTGTCATCACTCATCTCGATCGCTTGATTGAAGAAGATCAGGCACAGAATAGCAGAAGGAGAGGGTTGGAGGCATCATCTTCCCAAGATCCATTCGTCGCTCCGCCAGACGAGGCATTGCTCCCTGTTATCAAGGAGGACTTTGCAAGCCCCATCCGCGGTCCCAGTGAGAATAGCCCTAAGCGCAAGCAAAAGCTACGGACTTCGCTCGCCAAATCCCAGGGGAGCCATGCCAAGGGGACTATCCGGATGGTCCCTCACAGCTCACTCTCCTGCATGGAGGAAGTAAAGCCCCTGACCATTCGGAAGAAGAACTCCAGTAATTTCGTATCATCGGATGTCCATGAATTTGCTACAAGCGACTGCCCGAGTGACGAACAGAACTTTTCCATTGGATCTCGACATGCTGGTCAACCGATTGGATTGGATCCAATTGAAGAAGCTCCTCTGTCCCCTAAGAAAACGACAGCCCGGGCTCCAGAAGGCAAGAAATGGTCTTGGTTCAAGCATCGCCCCCAGGGCTCAGAGAATCCTCCTACTCTCCCGCCAAAGGACAGCCACCTCATTATTCCCAGCGGAGGCACCACTGTGCACACTCCAATCACCCTCCAGCCCGCTTCTCCTCCACAAAAAGAGAACACAGAGTCAGTCGCAAGACGAAAACCATCTATTGATCGTTTTGGCGGTAGCTTTTTCAAAAAGCTTCTAACAAAAAAGTCCAACCAGAGTATGCAAGAACCTCTTGCTGGTAAGTGTAACATCCGCAACTTCTGTCCAACATTCTAACCGATCTGTAGACAAGGAGAAGGATATACAGATCAAAGTAGCCAAGGATGCTCGCCACTCTTCTTTGATGTGCAAGGGACTTGCAGACACCGACAGTTCCGTCGAAGCTGACGATCCTCTAAACCCATTCCACCACAAACGCCGCTCGATCGCCAATCACAACTGGTTTGCCCGGGTTTTCCAGATCAAACCTGCGACTCAAGTCATTGCGTTGAGCACATCAAAGGTCAAGGGACGCAAGGAACTGTACAAGCTACTTCGCGAGTGGCGGGATTTCGGCATGGAGGATGTATACCTCGATAAGACCAACAGCATTGTTCACGGTCGTGTCAGCGAAGCAAATTGTAAGCCACTCATTTCGTCTGATCTGGAACATGTACTAACCATCAACCTTTAGTCCTCTATCTTCGAGAGGTTGAGTTTACTGCTGAATTTTACACAGTCCTTGAGTACGGCCAGCCAGCCAATCTCAGCCTGGTCCGCTTCAAGCAGGAGCGTGGCGCCGTTTCATCTTTCAACAAGGTTGTCGAGACTGTGCAGAGCACTCTCATGCGCCGCGGCATGGTTGTTGAGGACCCATCTCGTGCAAAAAAGATGTCCCGCGTTCTCGACTCCGTCCCCAACCGCAAATAAGTTATTTCACCGATTTTTTGATATCCCCTCGATCTCGCCACCAATTATCTTTGAATACTGTCAACCAACTATTGTCTTTCATTTCTCAGCATTGCATCCGCAACCATCTCACAAGCATGTTACGTTCCAGCCTTGCAAAAGCACTTTGCATCTCATCATCTGACCATCCACATCCACACTCGTTTTCATCTTATGCAGCACTCCAGAATCTACACCAGCCCAACATTGCAGGCTGCACCCATATTTCCATTTCCTTTCTCTTTCCAATCATTTCTTGTCTGTCAACCACTTTCTCTACTTGTTAATTATCCATTTCTTTTCAACTCAAGTTTCCTTCATTTCGAGGTCCTCTCGTTCCCTACCCGCCGATCCCAGCAGATCATCAAGTCATTTGTTCTTCCCCCTTTCTCTGATTTTGGCACGTCAATTACTTGGCATAATGCTTAATTTCGGTACCCGAGATATTCGTACTCTACCCATATCATCGCTGTTCTAAATCATCGAACCCTTGGAGATATCCATGTACCTAAATAGCCCCATCAAAGTATCTGTCCTAGTACTGTCCATCCATCAGACCATCTCCGACATATAGTAGTCCTACATCCTCGTCCAGGTTAGGGGCAAGTCACGTGGGAAGTCTTCTCATACCCAATGTAGGTACCTCCATCGAGACACATACGTCTACCCCTGCCGGGTCTACAACGTACATACGTACATAAGCGGTCTAGGCAACGCTGGATGTCAGAGGTGCATGAAGTAGCATGAAAAGAATGCACTTGATCTGGATTATGCAAGCCAAGATTCCCCCTTTGCAGGGGACAAGCCACCACTATTCACACTGAGACCTAGAAGGCATCCAACCCTTCTGATACTCTACATAAAAAGTAGGCTAAGTGGGAAGTAAGGGAAAATGGAACTCCCATGTAAAAAGAAAACTAGGAATGCGGTCCAGATCGGATTTCAGATCGGATCGATTGGATCTGCAAAGACAGGGAGGAATACTTGGTATAGATTGCATGGAATTTCATCAGAAAGCGCTCAGAGATACAAGATCCCAAGGTGAAAATAACATGCGGTAATAAGTGAATAGCAAGAAAGAGTGATCAGACAACCTCCGGATATAAGTATAAGCAGATATTTGATAGCGAAGAGACAGTAGCAAAAAAAAAGATGAGAAACAAATATAAAGCTCAAAACAGGTCCAATGATGATCAAAGGGGAAAAGATGACACAGCCGACCCACGTCTTTTTAGTCGCGTAGGCGAACAAACAGATGGCCACACACATACATCGTGAAAGATGTCAAAAGAGTAAAGAGACGAATGCCTTCCCAGTAATATAAAAATGAAGAACGAACCCGAGTAAAAGACAACAGCCGACGGTGCAAAAACGCGATGAGTGAAAACGAAACAGATTGCGAAAAAAAAAAAAACAAACAGATAGCCACCCGAAAATCAAATAGCAATGCGGACAATTATCTTTGGCCTCGTAGTAGAATGGATTCCTCGGAAAAGACAGCCGGACAGAGTGTGATTTGATAGCTCCGAATGCATTCATAGACTTCCGTGACATGCGGGTCAAACCGATTGAGGCTAGCACAGGAACTGCATGCATTCTGGAAAACCAACTCACTCTCTGCGCAAATCCAATTGGATTCGCAATTAGTCAGATATCGAAGCCGAGAGAGATCAAAAAAGAAATAGCGAAGTAAAAGTTCATATGCCGATAAAACCAGAGCCCATAAGTCTGGAAGTTTCAGTATCAAGTTCAAAATCGTGCTCGTGAAGCTCGTGGGTTCGCGTTTTTGTGACCTTGTAACAGATCAGAGTGTGACGTTCTTGTGGCGTTCATCCAGGTACTCGTCATTGCCTGGAATGTGATTCCGAAATTCCCCTTGCAGCCTTAAATTTGGAGAGTCGGGTCCCACAACGGCCCGACGAGACCTCAAATCTTGCTTTCCAATTCCAGCACTCGACACATGGCTCCCGGACCGTGTGGCCAGCGCACGGTCCATTCCGAATGGCCCTCATTCCTCACCGTTTCCGTATCGCATTTTTCGTGCGCTTCCTAGTGGAACTAGGATATCCAATAGCAACATAAAGATTACTATTGCGGACCGCGGCGATTCAGCGCATTGAGCATGTCGCTATCAGTACTAGAGCGGCCTTGGGAATCGCCGGGGTTCAGCATATCGCGCACATTCAATCCACCTCGTTGCGAGCCACCAGGAGTAGAGGTTGGCGGCGGTGTCACACCTCCTGGCTGAGGGGTACCACTTTGCTTGATTGGCGCGCTACCCTGCGGAGCCGAGACTGGGGGTACGCTGCCCTGGTGGGGAGTCATAGGCGCCTGGTGGGGCTGCATAGGTGGGAAGGGCGAGCCGTGAGGTGAGGAGGAGGGGCGTGCATCATAGCTATAAGCCGATGGTGGCGATGTGCGTCGATCGTGAGCAGGCGGAGGAGGATATGCGTAAGGGCTCGGCGTAGTGTGAGTTTGGTATCCTGGGGCAGACCCCGCGGGTGTCACAGGGGCCAGATTGGTTGGATCGGGGTACTCAAATCCAGAGTTTGAGCCTCGACGGTGTCTCTGGGCATCAAAAAATCAGCTCGGGTCTTTTTCTCTTACCAAAGGGGGAATGGCGGCCTTACCGGATCAGGCATGGTTGATGCAAGGGGAAGCGGGGCACCATCCATGGGGGGTCGTCCATTTTGATAGTACATCCCTTGAGGCGGCGGCAAGGTGGTCTCTGGACCCTGCGGCTGTTGCTGAGGGGGCAGAGGCTGTCCATGGGCACCATACAGGACAGGCGGTCCACCGCGGCCCGCAGCCCCTGGTCCATTCTGTCCAGGTCGTAGGTGAGGGTAGGCGGTGTGTGCGGGCACAAAGGCCTGTGTTTGCGAGGAGACCGGAGTGAACATGCAATCTTGATTGAATCGGACGCAGTTGCTGCACCGTCCATCTGCAGAAGTCTCGAATCCAGAGCAACGAATCTATCAAGTAAGAATTAGCGCGTAGCTCTGAGATGAGGGGCGATTTCCGTACCTTCCGGCGCCGACAGTACCGGCATGCAATGGCCGTTCGCTGTCGTGGAGCTGCTGCTTGGTAAGGTCCTTGTCCTGCCTGGGGTCCATATGCATCGGCGCGATAAGGACCCGGCGGAGGCGGGAGGCGGTAAGGATCTTGCGCTCCGTGAATGGCGTTCATGGCTGGTGGATGCGGGTATCTTGGGTCCGGATACTGCGCCGGGGAATATTGTGACGGGGCGTACTGCGGAGGAGGGGGGTACTGCGATGGCGCGTATTGTGCGGGAGGAGGATATTGGTAGGCACGGTCCTGATCAGGTGGCGGAGGGTAGGAGGTTGGCGGATACTATAAAGCTATCAGCAACCGGATCCGCAAAGTCACAGCCGTTGTGAACCGATTCCGAGACAGCACATACTGGGTAGGGAGCTTGATCCTCCGGATTGTTCCACTGAGTGGCTCTAGGATCTCGAGGATCTCTTGTATCTCTAGGATCTCTGTCTCTAGAATCCTGACGGTTTGGATCACCCTGACGGTTCGGGTCATGATCGTTGGGAAGGCCCGACATTTGTGTTGCTGGGGGGGTGAAGTAAGACGAGATGAGTCAAGGATGCAGGGATGTGACGTTCGAGTTATTGAAAAGGGGAATTCGATTCACACAGACAAAGCGAGCATAGCGCGGTCACGCAGGGGAAGGGGAAGAAGGGCAGATGCAGGAAGATCCCAAACAGAAAAAGGAAATAGGAAATAGGGAAGATGGAAAAAATAGGAAAAAAAAAAAAGAAAAAAAAAAGGCGATTATGACGTGAGCAGGTATAAGGAAGTTGAAAAAAACCCCACGAGATAAGCAGAGAGAAGAAAAAGAAGCTCAGATCGGAATGGGATAAACGAAATAAAAGGAAACGAATTATTTGATTGGAAAAGCACAGGGGAATTTTTAGAGAACGGGGTGGAGCCCGGGCAGCGCGGGCTAAAGCGGCGCCAGTGACCCATAGACATGGAGGGGGGATTACTGTATGTATCTATACAATGTGGTAACAAGTTGGCGTCGAATTGCATGGATACGGCAAAGGATGACCTTACATTACGCTTTCAATTCGTCAGGTGAAACATTCCAAGGTTGGTGACAAGGCTTTGAACCATGGATTTCAATCTAGCGTACCAGACTTTGGTTGCTATGAAGCCGAGAACGGCGACCGCTTTTATTTTCCTTTATTTTTCTATTTTCTTGTCCTTTTTTCCCCCAACTAGCAGTAGCGCCCGAGAGTAAATTTCCACGTTTTTTCGCCACTCTCCATCACCTGGGACAATATCTCTCCGGAGATAACAAAGCTCTACATCAGATAAATGAATCCAACCGTCAAGATTGACATCACCAGTGTGGCAGGTGACCTCTCATTTGCATGGATCAATCCATGCACGCAATTCCTCCGAGTGATCCTTGCTGCGTAACCGTCCATGGACGAACGACCGCCTCGGACCGTAGTCGCACAACCGCAACCGGCCCCGCGGAACCAGGATCATTTTCCATGGCGATGGGCTCGGGTCGGGGCGACACATTCCCATGCATGTCGGTGGTTTGAATATATTTTATTTTTCATATCTTTCGAACCATTTAATTTAGATCGTTTACAATATTATGAATTATCTCACCTTAACCAGGACTACCTAGTCCATCAAAGTACATGAAACTACTGCATGTCGGTACTATGAAAGAAATATTCAAGCGGTGAAAGTGTGGCGATCAGACTTCAGCTGAGGGAGTGGGGTACAGCCGGACCACTCGCCGCTCTTCAACACGAAGGAGCATCCATTTGAATACGATCATTGGATATGGAAGTTTGGCGCGAAGTATGAGGGAAAAAAAAACAGTGTGGCGATAGCGGATCCCTTTCTTCATACTGAAATTGAACCAGGCTTTGGAGGGAAAGACGGCGAGAAGACAGAGCGGAGGTGGAGTGCCCTAAGTTCCCAGGGCTGTAGCACTGGAACCGGAAAGCCCATAATGAGCCAAGGTAACCTGCATTAGCGTTGCGCTGACAGGGCGGGTTCCTTGTCCAAGAGCCACAACCACGTTGTACGGGGGGGGGCTCGTTAGCGTACGCCCGTCACCGCCAATCCCTGTGAAGTTTTCCGCCCAATTCATCTACAGTAGAACTGAGAATGTGGGTTTTAGGATTTAATATGAATAATCACCGATAGTCATGAGGACGGAAAAAAAAAAAAACGCAGTCCACACTCGCAACCATGGATTGAATAATATAGTAAATTGTAATAATACGAGTACTATTGCTAGGATTAATCAATCAGGTTTCGGGGTACTTGTCCCACGGGCCGCTCCGGCCTTCCCGCCGATCTATGCATGTGTGCCATCTGGCAAAAATACCTCGGTTGTTACAGTACAGTATTTGTCTCGAGAACACATACCTAGGTATGCTTGCAAGTTCTAGCCCATCCTATGTTGTATCTAATTATGCTAAGCAGTTCGATCCTATGGTATGATAATAGGAGATTCCTCTTCAGATAGGTACATGTATGTAGTTTTCGGTTCAGGTTTCCGTTTTCATATGGTATGCACTATCCGTAAAACGGAGTAAAATAGAGTACCAATATCAAACAATTCAGGCCACGTTTTTCGAACCCAATCGACTGCATTGCCGTCCGCGTCTTTCCGTTCCCCACTCTCTGGCGTGGCCTGTTCAGCTTTGTCCCCTCTAGCGTGCTCTCCAGAGACGCTCCATGATCCACCCGATCCAAAAACGCTGGCCACTCGATACTGTTTGTTCTAAGGACGCGCTAGCTGTCCTCAAAACTAGTCCTTTCGACACGGACTGAGCGCTGGTTTTCCGAACTGAACGCCCAACGCTAAGGGATCCATTCCGACCGGGCCTTTTTGCAGGCTGCGACGTTCCATAAAGTTTTGATTATTTATAATATTTTGTACGAAGTACTTTTTTTTTTCTCGTTTCAAGTTTTCATTTGGTGTATTTTTTATTTTTATTTTTATTTTTACTCGACTAAAAATTCGTTTGAGTTTTAGTTTTCTTAATTTTTGTTCCAATTTCTATTTGCCATACAATCCCCTCCTTTACCCACACGGGAGCGCGTCTATCAGCAAGGATGGAGACGGGTCGGGCACTAATAGACGCAGCCCGCATGTCGTTACAGTCACGGGAACACCATATGAACCAATATAGTACTCTGTAATGAGAACAAAATGAAAGGGCTAAGGTCTGTGCTGCGGATCTGACGTGGCAAGGGGGTTTTTTTCCCTGCACTGAGCCGGAACGAGGCAGTGCTTTCAGAGTCGGTGTACAACGAACTCGAACGTGCAGGTCGTGTGATGAGAGATGCCTGATGACTACCTGATCCTGGGAAACAGCATATGTGAGATCGGCAGGTCATTACTAGCCGAGTCTTTGGACTTTCTTTGCTCTTTGCTCTTTGGTCCTTTCTCTCGTCGGCTGGAACGAGTTTCTTATGTTGCCCCTTATGTGATTCGCTTAGCGGTCGCCTCTGATTTGTGCTTTTCCACCATCGTGCATATACCTCGTCAGTCACACAGCTAAAACCAAAACTGGGACCGCCATGCATGCTAGACCTCCTCAACTCTATTTGGGCGCCATTCGGGAGACAAGCGAGTCAATCTCACCTTGCTTTTTCTGGATGCTTGCCAAGTAGTTTCTCGGGATCTCGCGTGGAGCTAGTGACTTTGACATATTTACTCCGTACTCCGTAATTAATTTGCGGCTTAACCGATTGTCTTCTTGCTTTTTTCAAGTCACTTTTGCTTATTCAGGCTTTCTTTTGACTTTTCGCATTTGAAACTGCTTAGGTGCGATTCGGTTAGATTGGATTGTGCATTTTGATCTGCGTCCATATGCCCCTAGGGATCGGTATCATTAACCTAACTCAACTGCGGGTGGCTCATGAAATTGACCGACTCTCTCAAGGTTTTAAATGTCGATCCCCGCACGCCCGGCCGTCTACCCT